AAAAAAAAAAAAAAAAAAAAAAATAAGGAAATGTACGTTGTTCTAATGTCGAGAAAAATATTGAAATCGAAGGAAAGCTGAAGAAAGCAACGACGAAGAAACGCAGAAGAAATAGCGCAGATTTGGAAAAGAAAAGAAAAGAAATCAGGACGAACCCGTTCATTTCGCGGTGTACACTCGAATCGCGTTCCTTTTCACCAGTTAGACAGATATCGATTATACCAAACATTCCTTTCATTGGAAATGTGTTTCAATATAATCAACGATACCAACTTTGACGATTTATCCAAATTTTTCTCTCTCAAATGTTGTCTCTGAAAAAAGTTGCTTTTTTCTTTTTTTTTTTTTTTTTTTTAATCTTCATGAATGTTGTACGTACACTTGAAACTCCCTATAGATATTTACATATGTGCTTTCGATAAGGGCAAAAAATTGTTTTCAGTTATAAGAGAAAAAGTAAAGATAGCGGGTATGCGTTTTATCGTTCAAGAAACGTCTACGAAGACAATTTTTTTTTATCGAGGGTACGAAACTCGTAGTATTTTTTTTTATATACAATATATAATCATTTGTGAAAAAAAAAAAAACAAAATTCTCCAATAAGAAAACGATTATTGTTTTGGGGGAAATATAAATAAGGAATTGGTTAAATCGACCGTTTGCATGATATATGAATCGTATTCCATTTAACGTTTTTCTATTATATTATTTTCTATCGTTTATACACGTTGATAAGATCCTTAGGTGCTTCATTATCCATCTCGACCCACCAAAGAGAGCCACCAGCCCCCACATTCTTACCGTACTCACGCATTCTCTTTGATTAGCAGACGCCGATTTCGGATGTACATATATATATATATATTATATACAATAAATACGCACGCACGCACACGGATCGTGAGTCATATTTATGGTAAATGGAACGCGGTTAATTTTCCAGAAGTTTCATCCTCCTTAAAAAAACAAAAAGAAAAGAAACCAATTATCATTGTTCATCTGTTGCTACAACGAAAATCAAAGAAAATGGATAGACAGACAACGCATACGATTGATTTTTTGGAAAAAAAAAACTTTGTTCACGGAATTTAAGAAGAGGAGGAGGAGGAGGAGGAGGAGGATAACGACGTTGCTAAAGAAGAAGAAGAAGAAAAATAATAAGAAGAAGAAGATGGAAGGTATCAAAAAGAAATAATGACTGCAATGCTTGGCCGCCGTATTCCAGTGGAAGAAAAGGGATAAAAGTAGGAGAAGGAAGTTACGGGACCCGAATAGGACCAAAAGGAGTTTAAAATATAAGGTCAGCACTGACGACAAAGTAACAAAAAAAAAAAAAAAAAAAGAAAAAAAAAAAAAAAATTATATATACGAACTTTGAACGCGATCCGATTCGATCCGATCCGCGTGTAGCTTCTCTCACTCTTTCTTTCGCCTCGTTCTTCCATACGTT